GAGAGCCACAAGTCTTCGGGTCCTTCTTCTCCTCCGCACCGGGGCTGCGGCACAGGCGGTCTCTCCTTATTCCGCTCAAGTTCCCTGAACCTGTTGATCTACAGCATCCGCACTGGGTGAAAGGCAGCGGCGCAGCGGAGCTGCAGGGGCTTGGAGCAAGGCGGCGGCTCCCTGCGGCTGAGGGCGAGCCCGGGGCTTTGTCTCTCCCGCCTAGACTTCTGGAGGCTCAAACTTGAGCGATGAGGCCGGCGATAAGGAGGAAATCGAGTCTGGGAGGGATGATAATGAGCTCAAGAATTGGTAGGTTTTTCTCGCTCCCGCTAGGGTGCTGCAAATCCACTCTCGCCGTCAGCCTACAGAACACTCTTCACATCGGGTGGGGGAGGGCTGGGGAGGTGTGTCTCCAGGCAGATCGGAAAGTGAAATCCTCACTTATTTCTGGTCTCCCGCGACGAAATTGATGGGAATGAGGAGCAACAGAGAGAGTCACAGATTAATATTTCCGAAGCTTGCCCGGCGCACCGTGAAATGTCTGCTCGCTGCTCAGGCTGGTCCGTTTTCAGGCAGTGTTTTGCTGCATTTAGAGATCTAATCTTGCCTTGCTGGCTGAAGCGGCGGCGGCGGCGGACTGCATCTCCCAGCCAAGCGTATTTTTTTTTCTTTCTCTCCCTTCCGAGCAGCCAAAGGGAGGGGAGGAAATGCAGTGCAAAGAACTAGTGTCCCGATTTGTAGTTTCCTCCCCCTAGCAGGCTCCTCCCTCTCTTCCTCCGAAAAGGCTCTCCCCTGAAATCAAGAAAGCCACAGCCTGATCAGCATTTGCCGTGTGAGTCTATTGGGAGTGGAAAATATATAGATTTCTCTCCGCCTCTGATCGTAGAACACACTCTGATGTCTCTACGCTAAGCCAGTAGCCGCCGCTACCATACCATCCTCCTCCTGCCAGCAAGGGCTTCTGGCCGTGCAGTTTAATTCCAGTTTGCTTTTCTTCCCAGGCGAAAGGAAATCAACAGGCAACTCATGGTTGGACGTGCAGATCTGACGGGGGAGGGGGAGGCCAAATAAAAAGGAAGGGGGAGCCACCCTCCCGGTCCTCGCACACACTCTCCCTGTCTCTCGCTAGAAGGGAAACAGTCTCTGCATTCACAGAGCTGGGCTGTCAAGTGCCTCTCTTTTCTTTCTATTCAGCATCTCCTTCCACTGGCCCAGCCTCCCAGTCCTCTCCATGTAGAAAGAAAAATCTTGGCTAGGAATAAAAGTGGTGAATATTTGAAGAGGATAAAGTAAGGTTTTTATTTTCCTCTTCAAAAAATAAATTAATAGTAGGAGTGGGCTGGATGAGAGAAAAGCATCAAGGCTCTGCTTGGTGCATTCTGCAGTCTGTTCTATAGTCTCTGGGCGGCTGGGGAGGGCAGGGGTGAGGAGCTGCAGTCGGTCCTGCTCTGGGCGCCAACCCCGGGAAGCTACCTCTGAGAGAGGAGGTTAGGCACAGGTTTGTCTACACATTATTTCGGGTTCCCGAGGCGCCTGGAGATACGGGAATGACACATCCAGAAATGCAGGTGTTCTGATCTGCCCGATGAGTCAGAAGCAGCAGAACGAATCGTATTCACTCTCGCCTTTCGGTCCTCCCTTCACAGACATTAGTTGCGGCTTCTTCCTAACGCTTTCTCTGACTCACTCTAGAGAAAGAAAAATCAGATTCATGTTTTGTGGAAAAAAGGGGGGGGAGCAAGAGGGAGTGGGGGTGGAAGGTGAAGCTGAATCCCGCACCACTTTTACTCTACCTCTTTCTGCCGGAGTCCGAGGCTCTGGAAAGCAAGGCGTCTGCTTTGCTAGGTGTGTTTATTTATTTTTTTTTCTAAACCTTTCCTCTTGGTTAGGCGTGAGGCACCCCAAAATCTTTCACAGTCTTAGGAAAAGAAAAAAAAATCACGTTTCCAGTAATTATTCACAGCTTAGCCCCCATCATATAGTTCGAGATTTTCCTCTCAGTGTTCTCTATTCACAAAGTCCAGCATCGGTGTGCATAGCTAATTGTGCAGTCTGTTGTGGAGGATTTTTTAAAATTCCTCCTTTCCTGTCACGGGTGGTCTCTTTCAATCTGGTGCCTGTCAGGATCACCCCAAAGCCTGAGAAAGACGTGAGCATTTCAAACCAAATAAATCCATCCCCGCAAGCAAAGCGGCAGAGGAAATGGAAGGTGAAATTTTCAATTCAACAGTTGGAGAAGAGTCTCCCTAGCCGCCTTCCGCCGCTGCCGCATCCGCCGGGCTTGCAGTCCCCGTTCTCTCCCCAGCGTCTCTTGCTGACTGACTCTATTCACCTCACGCTGCCGCTTAAACATTGATACTGATTCCTTGCCAGCCAATCCGCGTGAGGAGCAAGGCCCTTCCTCCTCGGCCCACGCCCAATAGGAGGCGGAGAAGAGGTGGGCGGGGGCGGGGCTAGGACCTCTGCGCTTTAGAGTCATTGATTAGATCGGTCAGATGGGAAACTAAAGCGCCTAACTAAGCCAGAGCTACTCTTCGCGGCGGCGCCCAGGGCCTCGCCGCCAGGTCTCCCTGGTCTTTACCTACCGGGAAAAGCTCTTCCACTGTCTTCCTTCGGAACAGAGAATTAAAAAACAAAACAAAACAAAAAGTTTAAGAGCGATTTAATTAGTTTTTTGGCCTGAGACACACAGGAATGAGAAACGCAGCATGCTTGCAGAATAAGGTAGCTGCGGTCTTCGTAATGGATTTCCTTGTACACACACATACACACACTCCGCCGTCATCGTTCACCACCCATATCAAGGGAGGTGCAGATTTTGACTCCGCGTGGATGCGTCTGAATGAGGTGCGGGTGTGTGTGTGTGTGTGTGTGTGTGTGTGTGTGTGTGTGTCTGTGTGTGTATACGCATTCTGTAGCTTTTGATGTACATTTCAATAAGTCTGAGAGAATTCTAGGGTGCTCCTGAGGCAGCTTCTGCCCGCATTAGAGCAAACAGGAGGAGAGCAACAGCAATCAATATGTAACTTTCTTTGTCCTCCGTAAAAAATAGCGGTCCCCAGGCACTCAAGCAATGAAAGTAACTAGATTATGAAAATGTTTCAGAAGAAAAACACATGCACATTGAACGAGAGGCCATGTCTCCTTACAATAAAATAACCTCACTTCTTTTAAGAAGAAAGGCTCATAGTTAATACGAGCTTTTTGCACAATGTTAAAAATCAAATTTAACTAAATAATACTTACGTTGTGTCCTTTTGGTCTTCTCTCCTTTCCCTCCTCAGCCTAGGTTAAAAGTAATGGGAAGCACTCCTTCACATACTAGTATCAGTGTTTTGTCTGCCTCTGTGCCTGTTCCGTATGCAATTTGAATTTTAGTTTAGAACAAATCGCCATTGACAGCCCCACTTACCAATACTCCTATGCAGAGAAGCTGAACTGTAAAACACGAAGAAAGATCAGTAATCTGTTAGGATTTCACGTTCCTGTTTTTTTTTAATAACACTGCACACACACACACACACACACACACGCTCAAATTCTTCCCCATCAACTTCAGAAATTTAAAAGATCAGTTTTTCTAAAATTACTACCACAACCAACAAGCGAAGACTGGTTTGCTCATGATCCAGCTGCTCTGGGAAAGGGTTAAGACAAAAAAGAAAATTGAAGCATTGAAATAGAAAAGGTGAGTGTTGAGATTGCTAGAGTATTGATTGCAATTCATAAATACTGGAGTTAAGTTGCCATTTATAAATTGTGAATGACTACCATACAAATCTGAAACATGAATCATTCAGGATTCACAGAAAATCAAATCCAGACCAATTACAAGGAAGTTCTGAAGATTGTTGTTGGGATAATTGCTTAAAGATTCAAGTTAAAAACCTATTTATTTCCTGAAGGGTTCAATAAGATAAACTATAGTCAGAATTTGCAGTCTAGTCACTATCCAAATTTACCACTCCCTAAAAAAGTGTAACAGTTTAAAAGTTGGGAGTTCTTTGAAGGTAGACCTTCAAATCCTAAAATGTCTTTGTTTTTTTTTTTAATAGGTAGGTAGTTATGCATAGACCATTGTAAAGTAGGGGACCTAGAACTTTGTAGAAATATGAGCTGCTTTGCTGTATGAGTTCTTATCCATGCTGGCTTGTAAAAATACAGCTTTGCATTATCACTTTGGGGTTAAAACAATTGTTCCAATCCATGTACCATAGAAACTGATGTTATGAGTCTCTGAAAGTATCAGCTAATTCAAAGAGCAATGATTACACATTATTTATTATTCATTACTTTTAATATGACAAATTTAAAGCTTTCTTGCATTACACATTAATTTTTTAAAAATTCATAAAATATTCTCACTTCAGGTTTACTTTAATGCCAAAACAAGAGAACAATGTTACAGTTTATCGAATAGCCTTAATTAGGCAATGTTTTTTGTGCAATAGAGGGAAGATTAGAAACCCAATGTGTAAGAAGAAATACAATGACGTGAAAATAATCCATATATAGTTGCTCAAAACCCCTCCAAAGTAATTATGTCACATCTCCCCCTAGTGTATGGAAAGATAACTACCACCCTTATGGTGAATACCACAGGGTATCTGCCAAAGGACAGTAAAATAAAAACATTGAAAATATTTTTTTCACATTTTATGAAACTTGTAGTATTGAACTTAATTGTCTAAGACCAACAAATACTCAAGAAACTTACTTTATCATTATGATGCACCTTTATTTTATTTTAAAAGGAAATCGAATAACTGATACCTTTCAGTTTGTGGCTTACTTTCAAGCAGATGTGATCACCACAATTACTGTCTCTCAACTGCTATGTCCTTCTATTTTTGCCTAAATCATTTT